CCCCAAAACCCCAAAACCCCTAAAGAGTAAATTTAAAGCTGAAATCTGAAAAATTAATTGAAATTAAAAATTTAAATGATGCTTTAAATTTCAATCTTGATCATTTTGGTGTATGCCAGCTCAATAAAAGGAATCGACCAATGTTATGGTGAATCAGTCACCGGTCTTTACCTAGCTACAAATGAGAAAAAAGATGATGTATGCTTTGCATGGTTCAATTTTATAAATGGTTCCCATTTAAATGAAACAGAGGATAAAATGATTGCTTAATTTATCAAAGAAAAAATAGGGGATCCTAATAATAAAGAGGTTGAAAGAGCCAGATAATGGCTCAGGTGGTAGAATGATGATGATATAGTATATTTGGTTTCTAGTTATTAAAAAGCATGCATTGGAGTGGTACCGGGACTCACGGCTAAAACTTTCTGGAATGATGAAAACTGGGCTTGGGTTAAAGAGTTTGAATCAAACTATGAAATAATAAAGAAAGAACTAATGGTAATGGTTAACGAGAATAGATTTATTCCCAATAGAATTGGAGATTAAGATGAAAAATATAATACAGCTAATGATGGTCTTGGCAAGAACTTTCATGATGTTGGGAAATGGAATATCTTTTACATTATGTACCCAGGAGGATTATTTGATGAAAATTAATAAAAGGTACCAGAGACTACTAAAATTTTGTAAAAAGTACTGCCTGATTAGCAAGGGCATGCTTTGTTTAGTGCAATGTCACCTAATTCTTATATTAGACCTCACAATGGTTAGGATACAAAGAGACTCAGAGTTATGTTCCCGATTATTGGAGCTGATGGTGGAGCTAAAATGAGAGTTGGAGAAGATTGGGTTTACTTTTAAAATGGCAAGATCTCAATATTCGATGATTCATTTGAGCATGAAGTTTGGCATGATGGACCTAACACTAGAATTCTTCTCATCGCAGATATTTGGCATCCTGATCTATCTAAAGACGAGTAATGGTTTTTCACTACTATAGAGAATGCAGAGTAGAAATTTATACTTGAATAGCTTAGGAAAAAAGAAGATACCAAGCTTTCATCTAGCACGCAAGTTCTTGAAGCAGTTAAAAATCTTCCACCCGATGAGGGTTGGTGGGTTTAAAATAATCAATCCAGCCAGTTTTGCGACGAAAATTTAAAGGAAACGCCTTAATGTAAGAAAGAACTTTGATTAAACAACACTATAAGAAATTTAATTTTGATTTCACTTGATTTATAATTTCTATTTTTTAAAGATTCACAATAATTATTGATATTGGGGTTTTGGGGTTTTGGGG